CGCAGTATCCCAATGCCTCTTCGGTTTCGGTGTCGGTGTATCCCAATGCCTCTATTCGGTTTCGTGGCGAAGTATCGCATAGCCTCTTCGGTTTTCGGTGTCGCAGTATCCCAATGCCTCTTCGGATTTCAGTGACGGGTATGTAATGCCTCTATTCGGTTCGGTGGCGAAGTATCGCATTGCCTCTTCGGTTTTCGCTGTCGCAATATCCAATGCCTCTTCGGATTTCGGTGATGGGTATCCCAATGCCTCTATTCAGTTTCGGTGACAGTATCGCATTGCCTCTTCGGTTTTCGGTGACGAGTATACCAATGCCTCTTCGGATTTCGGCGTCGCAGTATCCCAATGCCTCTTCGGATTTCGGTCTCGGTGTATCCAATGCCTCTTCGGTTTCGGTGTCGGTGTCGGTGTATACTGGTGACTCTTCTGATTTCGGTGACGGGTATCCCAATGTCTCTATTCGGTTTCTGGCGAAGTATCGCATTGCCTCTTCGGTTTTCGGTGTCGGGTATCCCAATGCCTCTTCAGTTTCGGCGTCGCAGTATCCCAATGCCTCTTCGGTTTTCGGCGTCGCAGTATCCCAATGCCTCTTCGGTTTTCGGTGTCGGGTATCCCAATGCCTCTTCGGTTCGGCGTCGCAGTATCCCAATGCCTCTTCGGATTTCGGTGTCGGTGTATCCCAATGCCTCTTCGGATTTCGGTGTCGGTGTATCCCAAATTATTCTTCGGATTTCGGTGACGAATATCCCAATGTCTCTATTCAGTTTTTCTGTGGCGCAGTATCCCAATGCCTCTTCGGTTTTCGGTGTCGCAGTATCCCAATGCCTCTTCGGATTTCGGTGACGGAGTATCCCAATGCCTCTTCGGTTTCGGCGTCGCAGTATCCCAATGCCTCTTCGGATTTCGGTGACGGGTATCCCAATGCCTCTTCGGATTTCGGTGTCGAAGTATCCCAATGCCTCTTAGGTTTTCGGTGTTAGTATCCCAATGCCTCTTCGAATTTCGGTGTCGGTGTATCCCAATGCCTCTTCGGCATCCCAATTTCGGGGTCGGTGTCGGTGTATCCCAATGACTCTTCGGATTTCGGTGACGGGTATCCCAATGTCTCTATTCAGATTTCGGTGGCGAAAGTATCGCAATGTCTCTATTCAGTTTCGGCGTCGCAGTATCCCAATGCCTCTATTCGGATTTCGCTGGCGGTATCGCATAACCTCTTCGGTTTTCGGTGTCGCAGTATCCCAATGCCTCTTCGGATTTCGGTGGCGGGGTATCCCAATGCCTCTATTCGGATTACGGTGGCGGAGTATCGCTATTGCCTCTTCAGTTTCGGTGTCGGTGTATCCCAATGCCTCTTCGGATTTCGGTGATGGAGTATCCCAATGCCTCTATTCGGTTTCGGTGGCGCAGTATCCCATTTGCCTCTTCGGTTTTCGGTGTCGGTGTATCACAATGCCTCTTCGGATTTCGGTGTCGGTGTGTATCCAAATGCCTCTTCGGATTTCGGCGACGGATTATTCCAGTGCTTCTTCGGTGTTCGGTGGTGAAGTATCGCAATGCCTCTTCGGTTTTCGGTGTCGAAGTATCCCAATGCCTCTATTCGGATTTCGGTGGCGAAGTATCGCATTGCCTCTTCAGTTTCGGCGTCGCAGTATCCCAATGCCTCTTCGGTTTTCGGTGTCGGTGTATCCCAATGCCTCTATTCGGATTTCGGTGGCGAAGTATCGCATAGCCTCTTCGTATTTCGCTGTCGCAGTATCCCAATGCCTCTTCGGATTTCAGTGACGGAGTATGCCAATGCCTCTATTCGGATTTCGGTGGCGAAGTATCGCATTGCCTCTTCGGTTTTCGCTGTCGCAATATCCCAATGCCTCTTCGGATTTCGGTGATGGAGTATCCCAATGCCTCTATTCGGATTTCGGTGACGAAGTATCGCATTGCCTCTTCGGTTTTCGGTGACGGATTATACCAATGCCTCTTCGGATTTCGGCGTCGCAGTATCCCAATGCCTCTTCAGTTTCGGTCTCGGTGTATCCCAATGCCTCTTCTGATTTCGGTCTCGGTGTATCCCAATGCCTCTTCGGATTTCGGTGTCGGTGTCGGTGTATACCAGTGACTCTTCTGATTTCGGTGACGGAGTATCCCAATGTCTCTATTCGGATTTCTGTGGCGAAGTATCCATTGCCTCTTCGGTTTTCGGTGTCGGAGTATCCCAATGCCTCTTCGGATTTCGGCGTCGCAGTATCCCAATGCCTCTTCGGATTTCGGTGTCGCAGTATCCCAATGCCTCTTCGGTTTTCGGTGTCGGAGTATCCCAATGCCTCTTTGGTTTCGGCGTCGCAGTATCCCAATGCCTCTTCGGTTTCGGTGTCGGTGTATCCCAATGCCTCTTCGGATTTCGGTGTCGGTGTATCCCAAATTATTCTTCGGATTTCGGTGACGGAATATCCCAATGTCTCTATTCAGTTTCTGTGGCGAAGTATCGCATTACCTCTTCGGTTTCTAATTCGGTGTCGCAGTATCCCAATGCCTCTTCGGATTTCGGTGACGGAGTATCCCAATGCCTCTTCGATTTCGGCGTCGCAGTATCCCAATGCCTCTTCGGATTTCGGTGACGGGTATCCCAATGCCTCTTCGGATTTCGGCGTCGCAGTATCCCAATGCCTCTTAGGTTTTCGGTGTTTAAGTATCCCAATGCCTCTTCGAATTTCGGTGTCGGTGTATCCCAATGCCTCTTCGGATTTCGGGGTATTGTCTCGGTGTATCCCAATGACTCTTCGGATTTCGGTGACGGAGTATCCCAATGTCTCTATTCAGATTTCGGTGGCGAAGTATCGCAATGTCTCTATTCGGATTTCGGCGTCGCAGTATCCCAATGCCTCTATTCGGATTTCGGTGGCGAAGTATCGCATAGCCTCTTCGGTTTTCGGTGTCGCAGTATCACAATGCCTCTTCGGATTTCGGTGAGGGAGTATCCCAATGCCTCTATTCGGATTACGGTGGCGAAGTATCGCATTGCCTCTTCGGATTTCGGTGTCGCAGTATCCCAATGCCTCTTCGGATTTCGGTGATGGAGTATCCCAATGCCTCTATTCGGATTTCGGTGGCGAAGTATCGCATTGCCTCTTCGGTTTTCGGTGTCGGAGTATACCAATGCCTCTTCGGATTTCGGTGTCGGTGTATCCAAATGCCTCTTCGGATTTCGGCGTCGCATTATCCCAGTGCCTCTTCGGTGTTCGGTGTCGCAGTATCACAATGCCTCTTCGGATTTCGGTGTCGGTGTATCCCAATGCCTCTTCGGCTTTCGGTGTCGGTGTATCCCAATGCCTCTTCTGATTTCGGTGTCGGTGTCGGTGTATCCCAATGACTCTTCGGTTTTCGGTGACGGAGTATCCCAATGTCTCTATTCGGATTTCGGTGGCGAAGTATCGCATTGCCTCTTCGGATTTCGGTGTCGCAGTATCCCAATGCCTCTTCGGATTTCGGCGTCGCAGTATCCCAATGCCTCTTCGGATTTCGGTGTCGCAGTATCCCAATGCCTCTTCGGATTTCGGTGTCGGTGTATCCCAATGAATCTTCGGATTTCGGTGACGGAGAATCCCAATGCCTCTTCGGATTTCGGCGTCGCAGTATCCCAATGCCTCTTCGGATTTCGGTGTCGGTGTATCACAATGCCTCTTCGGATTTCGGTGTCGGTGTCGATGTATCCCAATGACTTTTCGGATTTCGGTGACGGAGTATCCCAATGTCTCTATTCGGTTTTCGGTGGTGAAGTATCGCAATGTCTCTATTCGGATTTCGGTGGCGAAGTATCGCAATGTCTCTATTCGATTTCGGTGGCGAAGTATCGCATTGCCTCTTCGGATTTCGGCGTCGCAGTATCCCAATGCCTCTTCGGTTTTCGGTGTCGGTGTATCCCAATGCCTCTATTCGGATTTCGGTGGCGAAGTATCGCATAGACACTTCGGTTTTCGGTGTCGCAGTATCCGAATGCCTCTTCGGATTTCAGTGACGTTGGCACGGAGTATGCCAATGCCTCTATTCGGATTTCGGTGGCGAAGTATCGCATTGCCTCTTCGGATTTCGCTGTCGCAGTATCCCAATGCCTCTTCGGATTTCGGTCTCGGTGTATCCCAATGCCTCTTCTGATTTCGGTCTCGGTGTATCCCAATGCCTCTTCTGATTTCGGTGACGGAGTATCCCAATGTCTCTATTCGGATTTCTGTGGCGAAGTATCGCATTGCCTCTTCGGTTTTCGGTGTCTTAGTATCCCAATGTCTCTTCGGATTTCGGCGTCGCAGTATCCCAATGCCTCTTCGGATTTCGGTGTCGCAGTATCCCAATGACTCTTCGGTTTTCGGTGTCGGAGTATCCCAATGCCTCTTCGGATTTCGGCGTCGCAGTATCCCAATGCCTCTTCGGATTTCGGTGTCGGTGTATCCCAATGCCTCTTCGGATTTCGGTGTCGGTGTATCCCAAATTATTCTTCGGATTTCGGTGACGGAATATCCCAATGTCTCTATTCGGATTTCTGTGGCGAAGTATCGCATTGCCTCTTCGGTTTTCGGTGTCGCAGTATCCCAATGCCTCTTCGGATTTCGGTGACGAAGTATCCCAATGCCTCTTCGGATTTCGACGTCGCAGTATCCCAATGCCTCTTCGGATTTCGGTGACGGAGTATCCCAATGCCTCTTCGGATTTCGGCGTCGCAGTATCCCAATGCCTCTTAGGTTTTCGGTGTCGCAGTATCCCAATGCCTCTTCGAATTTCGGTGTCGGTGTATCCCAATGCCTCTTCGGATTTCGGGGTCGGTGTCGGTGTATCCCAATGACTCTTCGGATTTCGGTGACGGAGTATCCCAATGTCTCTATTCAGATTTCGGTGGCGAAGTATCGCAATGTCTCTATTCGGATTTCGGCGTCGCAGTATCCCAATGCCTCTATTCGGATTTCGGTGGCGAAGTATCGCATAGCCTCTTCGGTTTTCGGTGTCGCAGTATCACAATGCCTCTTCGAATTTCGGTGTCGGTGTATCCCAATGCCTCTTCGGATTTAGATGGGTCGGTGTCGGTGTATCCCAATGACTCTATCGGATTTCGGTCGGTGACGAAGTATCCCAATGTCTCTATTCAGATTTCGGTGGCGAAGTATCCCAATGTCTCTATTCGATTTCGGCGTCGCAGTATCCCAATGCCTCTATTCGATTTCGGTGGCGAAGTATCGCATAGCCTCTTCGGTTTTCGGTGTCGCAGTATACCAATGCCTCTTCGGATTTCGGTGAGGGTATCCCAATGCCTCTATTCGGATGTCTGATATCCAAATGCCTCTTCGGATTTCGGTGTCGCAGTATCCCAATGCCTCTTCGGATTTCGGTGATCGGTATCCCAATGCCTCTATTCGGATTTCGGTGGCGAAGTATCGCATTGCCTCTTCGGATTTCGGTGTCGGTGTATCCCAATGCCTCTTCGGATTTCGGTGTCGGTGTATCCAAATGCCTTTTCTTTTTTCGGCGTCGCATTATCCCAGGTGCCTCTTCGGTGTTCGGTGTCGCAGTATCCCAATGCCTCTTCGGTTTTCGGTGTCGGTGTATCCCAATGCCTCTTCGGCTTTCGGTGTCGAAGTATCCCATTGCCTCTTCTGATTTCGGTGTCGGTGTCGCAGTATCCCAATGACTCTTCGGTTTTCAATGACGGAATATCCCAATGTCTCTATTCGGATTTCGGTGGTGAAGTATCGCATTGCCTCTTCGGTTTTCGGTGTCGGAGTATCCCAATGCCTCTTCGGATTTCGGCGTCGCAGTATCCCGATGCCTCTTCGGTTTTCGGTGTCGCAGTATCCCAATGCCTCTTCGGATTTCGGTGTCGGAGGATCCCAATGCTTCTTTAGATTTCAGTGTCGCAGTATTCCAATCCCTCGTCGAATTTCGCTGTCGCAGAATCCCTATGCCTCTTCGGATTTCGGTGTCGGAGTATCCCAATCTTTCTTCGGATTTCAGTGTCGCAGCATCCCAATCCCTCTTCGGATTTCTGTGTCGCAATATCCCAATCTCTTTTCGGAAATATTCAGTCAGTTATGTGCCATGCGTATTACGTGCTTATGCGACCAAGTATCTTTCGATACATTACTGTAGAGGCAGATTTTTCCCGCAGTAGTTTACCATCTATTTCTGCGGTAGACCAGGAGCCATACAAGTCTATATAACTCGGGCTGCCCTGCTATCTACTCATAGCTGGGGAGGGGCAGAAGGAGAGTATACATACCTTTCCCCGGCATCAGTTCAGTTATGTGACATGCGTGATACACGCTTCGGCGATTATGTACCTTTCGACACATGATTGATGAGGCAGATTTTTTTCACTGAAGTAGGTTGTTGCTTCTTTCTGCGGTAGACCAGTAGCCATCCAAGGCAACACGGTCTGTCCTGCTATGTACCGATTGCTGTGGGAGAAGAAGAGGCTTCATACCTTTCCCAAAGGTATTAGCACGTAAGTGAGTGTAATGGATTCGACTGGAATTCGAACTCGGCTCTCCGATTCCTCAATTCAAGCCGATATCCATTACTCCACCTTGCCTCCATGATTTATATCTTAGTCAGCTCAAAAAATTTCCATCCATACATGGCAGAAAACCCGTTCAGAAATTTCTAAACTATAATCTACTAGCAGCATGGCCCGGCATTTCCCGTGCTTGATTCAAAAATCGTACGACTCATACAGCAATCGCTATCACTTGACTTAAAATATTTTTGCCCTTCCTTGCCTTAAAAGGAGTGTCCTTTTCCGTGCTGATGTTGCTACATGCCTTACTTCTTGCCTATCTCACACTGCAAAATTTTTTCTAAGCTCTATACTAAACATTAATCTTTTACGAAAAAAGAACTAAACAAAATGAACACAAAACGATCAGCTTTAAAAAGGACTCGTAACTGGAAAACCGAATGAAAAAGAATGTTAACAACAAATACTTTTTCACACCCAACCCAGTTCTGCGGAATCAGAATCAACGTTGAGTTTAAGCAAGCGAATGAGCCAATTGGAGTAAAGTGCCATGCAGATTTAAATTTTTCCCACTTGTGACGAATGCAGCTATCGATTTTTTTTTGCATGCTAGCATGCTAGTTAACATTCGTGTCAGTCAGCTGTTGCTCTCTCACGCTGGCCAATAGAATCTTCCTGCCTATTCGTGGCAGCCAGCTATAGGCTCTCACTCTGGCCAGTAGAAATGGCCGCAAACTACATGAAAAACTGCCATAGAAGCATGAAAAAATCGATTATTTCCACTATCGATGGGAGTTGGGAAATGCAAAGTTGGTCTTGGCCTTCCTGCTTACTTGGAGCATGTGCATGTAAATTTTGGTGCAAATCCGTCGAAAATTGCGGTCGTGCACTCCTTACACACACACACACACACACACACACACACACACACACACACACACACACACACACACACACACACACATCCTGCCTGTTATAGATAGAGATACACAACTTTCTCAGATGACTGATTAAAATAGCTTCGAGTCAAAAAACACGTAGGTATTAGCGAGGACCTCTTTGAACCTAGTTGATTGGCGCTGCATAATCACAAAAAAGTACTATAGCAAATAACAGAGACCACATTACTAGAGGTTAGGAACGAAACCCACATCAATACTAAAAAAAGGGATATCAGTCAGTGGACTGTAAAATTCAATTAAGAGAAAGATTTGATAATTTCAAGAGAAAATAGGACTGACTTCTTGGTCACTGGAATAATCAAGATGTTCATTTTTCCACATTACTTCGAACAAAAGGTTAGGCCGTCCTGGGTATGATGATGAACTACATCCATGTCCTGGGTATGAAGATAATCTACATCCAAGAGCAAGCCTCTGATCGGGAGGTTTTAAGGAGAGTGGAGCCACCTTTTAATTGCTGGTGTTCCCAGGTCCAACTTGACCCGGGATGGTAGCACCTGTTAGGGTCCCAGCTATGGGCAAATAGTTAACTCTCAAATTGAGGTCAAAACAGCATGAAAGTGTAAAAATAGGTTTTAATACCAAAAGTACTTTGTAAAAAAAATATTACCAGCAATACATTTTTGAAAATAAAAATTTACTAGCTATATATTGTTAGACATTTCCATGACGGTCGTCCTTGAGTATTGAATCTAGATGTTAGCAGTGAATATTTCGGAGACAGTAGGAAAGCGTACTTTAGGTTCGCAGTGGATATCACAGCAGAGTGTAGTTCATCCTTCTCCTGGTCGTTTTTTGGTCCTTCCGGTAGACGAAACAAGATGGCCGCCTTTATACACGATGAATACAGTGTTGGGCGGCTTCGGATTGGTCAACCTCCCATTCGTCGACTATAAAGGGAAATAAGTCATTCTGACTCGCTCACTAGTTACAGGCGTTAATATACCCAAAAAACCGTAACATATATTAATTTGAAAGAAATATTACCAGTGATACATTTTTGAAGAAAAAAAATATTACCAGAAATAGATTTTTTTAAGGAAAGAAATATTACCAGCAATACATTTTTGAAAAAAAAATATTACAAGTAATAAAAATTGTCGGCATTAAATAACCTATTGAGGTTGATATACCGTAAAACAAAACAAAACAAACTAAACCAAACGAAAAGGTTTGGAAGAAAATCAAAGTTAATAATGGAAAGAGCAATTAACAGTTACTGGATTTGTGATGCATATTTTCCATAAAAATGTTTTAGGAGAAAGATTTTATAAATTTCAACCGACAATAGCACTTGCTGCTCGGTTAATGAGTACCGAATATTTCCTTACAAGGAAACGAATAATATTAACATTAACATTGTTGGACGAAGATTCACGCGTCTCGTAACCCGTTAGGGTCATCACCTGTAACGCAGCCGCAGTAGTAGTAGTCCATCTTGGGCAAGAATCCTGACGGGACCCAACCCTCATCATGGTTTAGAATTAAGAGATTTTCCTAGACTGGCTGTTGAACCAAGCTTATAGATCCTAGTCTGTACTATTATTTATCCATAGCTAGGAGAGAAGAAATGGATTCATACATTTCCCACGCAAAGGGAATGTAATGAACTCGACTGGAATTCAAAATCGGCTCTCCGATTCCTCAACCCGAGCCGCAATCCATTACTCTACCGTGCCTTCGGACGACGATTAGGAAACCATATAAGACTGAGTATACGCCCTTCGACGCGTTGATTGATGCGCGGCCCACTAACAATGTTGAATTAGGATGTGATTTGATGAATATGTTTCCTTGATTAGGTGGCTGCCATTCTGATAAATCAGGCGTGGCCGTCGGGACCTAGAAATACGCTAAGTTTCCTGCAGCGGACGACTTACACAGACTCGCAAACAGGAATCACATATCAAGTAAATACAGACACAGAAACAAACGACACATAATTGTCAACTCCAGATCCAACTAAACGCTTGTAGACTCGAAATCTAAACGATCAATGTTTATCTTAGTCACAACAATGATTGCAGATTCAAATTTAAACGACCAATAAATAACTATCCCCAAAGAATTGAATACTTACAGACTGAAACAGAAACAACTAATATTTACCTATTCCTGAACCAATTAAGTGCTAAAAGACTGAACTTTAATAACTAATATTTGCCTTTCTACCGAAACAATACTTATAGAGATTTACTAAACGATATATATATATATATATATATATATAGAGAGAGATTTCTGGCATCTAAAAGAAACGAATAAAACACCAAAAGTAAAATAGAAAATAGTAAACAAAACAAGAACTTGTAAAACCTAGGATGACCCATGCCCTTTATGCCTACACGAAAAACTACACATCATTAAATTTCTAAATAATGAAAAATTATTAAACCATAGGCAGGAGTTAACGGTTTTTTGCCGACATCAACAAATTTTCGCATTAAATAGGAAAAACCCTTTCTGTAGTCGTCAAAAAACAACAAAAAATACAAAAAACAAATTGAAATTCAGTGCAATACGGTTTGTATATAAAACACCCACTTGAATAAACAAATAAATAAATATATAATCAGATGGACAATAATAAAACACAATCCTCCCGGCACAAAACGATTGTAGGCGCGCCATAAAAATATCCCTCACTGGGAACCAACTAAAGGATGACCGCAAACATTAGCCTTGAAATAGATACCCAACCCAACCTTAGAAAACCTCTTAGAAGATGATGAATCTATTGATAGGAATTAACTCTTTGACAACTTAACGAAGAAAACTAGCCTAGCCACTCCCACAATAACGAATGTTGCAACGGACCATGCCTAAAAACACACGTAAACCAAGAGATAGCTTATTCCTAAAATTTCGCTTGAAGATGAAACAGGACTAAACACCTCAATTCAACTTAATTTTAATAATTATTTGGATGGTTTCGGCTCTCGTTTTTGAAACATGAGAATTTTATGTATGAAGGAATCATATTTTTAAAAAAAAATATTATATATATATATATATATATATATATATAAAGAGAAAGAGATTTAAATATATATATATATTTATATATATATATAGAGAGATAAATTTATTTTTATATATATATATATATATATATATATATATATATATATATATATATAGAAATAGAGAGAGAGAGAGAGTCTGGATATGAAGAAAAAACCTGATGTCATCTTGAAATCTAATAGAATTTTAGCATTTATACTATATTCGTGAGATATTTCTAAATCAAACGTATCCATTTCCTTGATTTCCTTGAATTAAAAAAAAAATCTCCCTCCATTATTTATTGTTTTCTCATATTTAAGCGTTGGTCCAATTCTTTTTATCGCAACATTTCTTTGGGGCAAATCTCCAGACATCTTAAATACTACACCTTCAAGCAATCTTAATGTATTTTTGTCTTTTTCGGGAGATAAGTATCATTCACGCTTTTTGGTTTTGGGGGACATTTAATAACATAATGAGGAGGAAGGAAATAATAATAATAATGATGATGGTGATCATTAAAATAATTATTAATCGGAATTGACAGAATAGTCATAAAGTTAATGACAAAACATAATGTGCGAGCGGTGTAATGCAGAGCAGTTGCGAATACGAAGTCGGAGAATCTTTTTTATCTCCCCCAATCTATGGGTTAAATAGTAGGAAAGACAGGTTTCTATAGCCTTGGTGGGCAATAATTCTAAAAATGAGGATTGCATGGAATAAATATTATGGGACATTATTTTTTTTTTCTAAATGGTAAATAGTCTTGAACAGTTATATGGAGAAATCAAATTATTGATAAGAAAATGTTTCTCAATGGTCTGGTTACCTTCAAAATCACATTTTTTTTTCGGGATAACGTTTACCGCTGATATTTTTTTAAGCTTTTCATCCCAAGCAAGACGGGAGTGCCACTATAACGCAAGGGGTTACAGAGGATCGGGAACAAGAGTAAAGAGTCGTGTTTGAGGAAAGAATACAGAAAAGGACGGGGGAAACAAGATCAAGGTATCAGAAGACGTCGATTGACATTACATTTGAATATTTGAAGAGTATAGTTATCAGGAAAGCAAACAAGAGGAAGGGAGTTCCACAGACGGGAAGTGCGAAAAGAAGAAGCTCTTTGAATAGAAGAGACGGTTGCATTTAACCGTTTCGACAGTGAAAGGGGTGGGACCGGGATGCCAGCCTAGTAGCTCGCTTAAATATACGCGGTCATGCGACAGGAACAGTTGCCATGAAAATACTTGTAGAAGAGACAGAGGTAGGCCAGGGCACGTCTGTGAGAAAGCGATTGTAGACGAGATGCCAGATCAGGACCTATCACATTGCATATTCGTCTCTGGATTTTGTCGAGTGAGTGAGTTGCGCATTCTGCTACAAAGGAAGAAAGCATTCCTCGTCATAATAGAAAAAGAAAAAAAAAACGGAGGAAATGATTAATAATCATTATATTACCCGTGTGAGTGCTGAAACATTCTGAGCGCGATCACACATATATGTATATATTACTAATAGAATTACATCAAAATTATTTCGCTTCCAAGTCATGTAAAAGCGTACTGAACTCCTGTGTAATATCTAATCTTAATCGCAGTGAATGATCGGAAAAACCTTCAGAATGCTAGGATGATCGAAATTGGAATCATCGAGAATTCTTTTTGATGTGTACATGAATTCAACTTCGAAGCAAAGTATTGTAAAAACGAAAACAGTTTTGATACGCACTAACAATTTTTGAAAAATTTTTCAAACCATTTCTTTTATCTTTAAAGATGTAAGAGTTTCTCTAGGCATGTATCTATGTTTTTCAAATTTCGTCTCTTGGTATCAGGCCAGTAAGATTTCTCCTAATTGGTCCTAAAACCTACATTAATTATTAACAATGTTTTTTTTTCTAAAGAAAACAATCTTCAAATATTTTCAGATGTTGTGCCAATGTCGATCGCTTAAACAAAATTTTAACCCCCGAAAAGCATTTTTTGTTCTATATAATATTGTAAGCAGAACACGCTAAACATCTTTTGTAGCATTCTTTACAAAAACAGGAATTAACATAAAATATAGGCAGATTATTAGCGTAATCATTTCACCCTAAACAAGGCAATAAAGTCACAAAGGCTCAAGGGTTTAATGAGTACAAAAGAATATAAGAAAAAAATAAACGGAGAGAGATCAATAAAAGAACGGGAATTAAGAGGACAGAAGATAACGATTGAAATTAAATATAAAGTTCTGAAGAACACTAATGATAAGGAAGAAAGAATCCGGTAGAGAGTCCCACTAGCAAGAAGTGTGAGAGAGGAAACTTTTACCATAGAACTTACGGTTGCATCTACCTATTTCAAATGTAAAAATAATGAGCCCTTGCCACTAATCTAGTACTGAGCTTAAATTCACAAAGTCTAAGTTCCACAGAGGAAAGTTCTTCAGAAGAACAGTTACCACGAAAATATTCATAGACAAGGCTCCGTGTAAGTTCGTTACGGCGGTGAGAAGGTAATTGAAGCCTAAATGCCATGTCAGGACCAATAGCATTGCAGATTCTTAATAGTATTTTATCAGGAATCTCTAAATAGGTTGCATACTCCCCGTCATACTGGGGTGGTCAGACACGCCCAGCCGCGCCCATCAACCACACTCCTCTGTGATACCTGCTCACTACTCTTGAGGAGTAGGCTGGGCCTTCACAGTCATCTCCGTCATCGCCGTCGTAGGGGAGAAAGGGAATAATGAGGGAGGATGGCAATCCCGATGTTCGAATGCAAGCGGGTACCGGCGACTAATGTACAACCAAAAATGCGTTAAAACAGAATATTTGCAACGATAGAAGAATAAAGATGCCTTGCCGCTGCCAGATTCCTTCAAGGGACAAGCCACCACGTGGTGATGGGTAGATGGCCAACCTGTGGATATCCGTCCTATTTCCCTCTTTCTCTCGCTTCTTCCAAAAGGCGATGCTACTACTGCGGCATTTCACATCTGAAATAAGGCGAGGAAAAGAAACCTGGCATAAATGTCTATTCAGTCCATGATGCAGCGTTGGGTGTCGGGAGAATTGCCGATAAACTACGAGAAGTCAGAAACAATAGACAAGGTGACAATGTGTTTCAGACTGATTTTATTTTTGTCTATCTACCTGAGTGGCATACAGGAAGAGGGGGAATTTATTAAAATAACTGTCAACGGGACAGGTCGTACAATTAATGTGGATTCCTATATCATTAATCAAAATGGACTACTCGGATTTCGAACGATTTCAGCTGATTTTGTTTTCTTACTTTTTACTTAGTGTTCACCTAATACAAGGCGCAAGAACAACTCAAGGTAGAGAGTTATAAATGTTGTCGTTGTCTGGAAGTAGTAAGAAGAAGGATGAAGTAGGTAGACATGAGGAGGATACGTTGAATAGGTAAAAAAAGATTAAGATTGTAGAGTTTGGAGAAGCATCCTTTCAGGGGTCTATTCCATAAAGTAGTGGTTCCTTTGAAAGAAGCTGTTCAAATAGAAATTCTTTGACCCGTAATTTTGGACCAGTAAAAATTAAATGCAATATCAATCGTTATCTACTGCTTACTTGATTACTCTTCTTTTATTGTTCTCGCTCCTTACGCTTTCTAATTCTTTCGCAACTAGTAACGCCATGTTTTTTTCCTCACCAATAGCACAACTCCGAGTTTCATGTACGGTGCAAACGTTAGCAACTGACTGATAACTGACCGTTGTATCTTCAGTTTTCAGCACCCGACAACGACATTTTAATAAACTACATGAATAAAATTTAATCAGAAGAACGTATATTGAAAGGACCATTATAGAAATAAATACGGACTCTTGAACAGTTAATGTTTCTGTGATTAGCAATGTGCACAAAGATGTGGGTCGTGACAGTCAAAAGGTAACAGTGGCTATCACACATTCGAAGATAACATCCAAAGTGTAAATGACAATGAACATCTCATTAATACTTTATTAAATATAACGCTTATTTTTTCCCCATTACAAAATACCGGACTTGTTTATGTTGTAGACTTTTATCAAAATGAAAATTTCGATGCCTTTTCCAGTCGTAAAATTGTATTTAAATTTCTTTGTGAGTAAAAAGCAGACAGAAATCTATGGCACCCAGCAAGAATACTTAGCGTGAACTGAAGTTGACAGTGAATTGGGAAATATTCTGTCCTCCGTATCAAACCGAAAAATCTATCTATCTATCTATCTATCTATCTATCTATCTATCTATCTATCTATCTAAGTCAATTCATATCTATCTATCTATCTATCTATCTATCTATCTATCTATCTATCTATCTAAGTCAGTTCATATCTATCTATCTATCTATCTATCTATCTATCTAATCATCTATCTATCTAAGTCAATTCATAAAATCTATCTATCTATCTATCTAATTCAATTCATATCTATCTATCTATCTATCTATGTCAATTAAACTATCTATCTATCATCTATCTATCTATCTAATTCAATTAATCAAATTATCTATCTATCTATCTATCTATCTATCTATCTATCTATCTATCTATGTCAATTAATATCTATCTATCTATCTATCTATCTATCTATCTATCTATCTATCTATCAAACTCGAAGCTTCCATGCAAAACCCGCAGGACTACCTAATGTCGCCTTATAAACAAATTTCGCACTTCTCTTTTCACTAATTTATATTCTTCTGTACAAATCTAAGTCGAGCCATTGCTCAATTGGCTCCCTGATTTTCAAGTTATGTTTAGTTTCATCATTTAAAAGAATGATCTCAATCATCTGTTTCTCCCATTTGTACCAGGAAAGGTAAACCAAAATGAAATGCGGTAATGATGAAAAAATAAATAAAGAAATGGAGGACAAATTGAACGTTGAATTAAAAAGACACAGAAAGAGAAAGATTTGAAAGGAAGGAAAACGGTGAGAAAAATAAAGGCGAAGGAAGCAAATAGACGTATAGAAGTGACTAAGAAAGCCATAAAAAAGAAGAAAGTTAAAAAAAAAAACGAACAATAATAATGAAGAGAAGAGAAAGAAAGAAAAAAGAAAAACGAATTAAAACAATGAAGCAAATTAAGAAAGAAGTAAAGAATGTGAAAGAATTTTGAAAATTCGGAAAAGCGGTAATTAGCGTAAAAATGAGAGAAAAAAGAAAGAGAATGAAAAAGAGAGAAAAAGAAAATGAGTGAAAAGGGAGAAAAAAAGAAAGTGAGTGAAAAAGAGAGAAAAAGAAAGTGAGTGAAAAGGAGAGAAAAAAGAAAGTGAGTGAAAGAGAGGGAAAAAAGAAAGTGAGTGAAAAGGAGAGAAAAAGAAAGTGAGTGAAAGAGAGGGAAAAATAAAAAATAAGAAAGACATAAGAACGGTGTCAAAAAAAAAAGGAAGGAAAGAGATAAAATAGAGGTAAAAGAAGAAAAGAAGTTAGGGAGAAGAAGAGAAAAAAGAAAAAGTAAAAAGTTAAATCAAGAAAATTTGAGAAACATTAAAAAAAAAAGTAAGAAATTTAAGAATATTTAATAATGAAGGAAAGAACGTTAAATAATTGAGAAGAAATTGAACAACAACAAAATAGAATGGGGAAAAAAAGAATCGAAAAAAAAGTAATGAGCAATGGAAACGAAGGAGAAAATCCAGGAACTTGGACAACGTATAAAAAAAAGAAAAAAAAAATTATAGGAAAAGAAAAAATCAAATAAAAATAATAAGAAACGACAAAAATAATATTAAAAAAAAAAAAACGATAAAAAATCCAAAACAAAACAAATAATGAACCGAGGAAACGTGGGTAATAATAAAAAAAAAATCACGAATAAAAGAAATATGGACAACGTTGAAAAAAAAAAAAAACAAAGCAAGAAGAAAGACGAAAAACTTTTTTTGTCAGTTGATGTGTCCATTAAATAATCCTATCTCGTCACAATGTTTGTCCACATGTCCATCCATTCTTTCACTGTCCTTTTTCTTTTTCTCTAATTCAAACCAGACCGGCTTTTCTAATCTGGTCGCCTGCGACAGAAACCCTGCAAACACGAAAGACAACATACAACACGAACTTGAATTGAAGGAAAAAAAAAAATAAACATAAAACAGACACACACACACGATGGACAGCAGGATATATTTACCAAAGATGATTTGTAACACTGTGTATTATTATTACAGGGTGATTCAAACATATGCCTACAATATCAGCGGTCCCACTTTCCACGGTTTCAGTAACCTGACTCCGATAAGAAATAAACAATTCATAAGTTTTGTAACAGTAATGAATCTGACAAACTGAATGTTTCAAAAAGAAGCCAAAAGTGTTTCTTTTAAGTAAGTGAACAGATAAAAGCTATCGACTTAATAAAAGAAAGAAACTAAATTCGTGAATGACGTAGCAAAAAAGTACGTTAAGAACGAATCGGATCTTTTCTGTTAATTCACCTCAAATAATGTAAAGTTACTTATCGCAAATATTAATTAACCGCAAGTAATTATCAAAGTTTGTGTGTTTTTTTTTATTAGAGTTTCGGCAATCTTTTGAAATTATAAATTTTGAATCAAAATTACCAAAAATCAGGCAGTTATTGCCATTTCGTAAGTGCGGATGATATTCGAGGTACTTAGAAAGAATTTTTTTACAATTAAAAAAAAAGGAAATAAACAAAAAAAATCTGGTTTTGGTTTGTTTGGTGTGCGCTATGTAGACCGTACACCAATGGTCGGCAACCTACGGCCTGCGGGCCGGATTCGGCCTGCGAAGGCATTTTGACCGGCCCGCGAGCCTGATTACCAATGACTCTATTTTTAACATGAGAGACGACCTTCAAATGAAATTTGTTATATGTCATTTTCCATAGAATGTCTACACATCTCAGTGCACTAAAAATAATAGACTATCTGCCAGTTATCTTTCATGAGACTTATTTTACCAAGTTGCGTTGCCTACGTTTAATGTCAAATAATGGATACATATTTGTTATGGCCCTTGGCTACATTAAAAGATAACAGAAGCGAAAGGAACGATAAAGTGAAAGAGGCCAGGGAGGGACTGACATGTGAGGTAGCAGAAATCTAAAGACAGTTAAACATACGCGCATTATACATACATGCCTCATGAATGTGTGGATGATACCGCATGTGTACGTACGTAAGTGTATATGTTTGCAACTATTTGTACTCGTATGTATGGCTATATGTGCTTCGTTTTTGTTTGATGTGTATGTGTGTGTGGTTCGTTTGTGGAACAATTTTCAATAACAGTTTCAAACCTACACGTCATAATTTCATCCATTTCACTTCGGTTGAATTTTTTCACTTTGAAGTATTTTGATGTTACTTGAGGAAAAGTAAATTTTGTTAGGTGTTTTTTAATTTTAGATTTTCTTTTGTTTTTCTCAATGTTTATTTTCATTATGGTTTTAAATATTTAGGTTGACAGGGGTCTGCATATGTAATTTTCCTTAATTTTTCATTAATGGCCTTCGTCCGGCCCGCGACTCATCATTATAACACGATCCGGCCACATTTGGGCCACATTTGGGGCAATCACAAAGGTCAGCACAAACGGTGTGCAATTGAGGAGCCTCGCTCTGGGAGAATTTGATGTGGATTTTAGTAAATAAAAATTCTTTTTATTTTGGGGTGAATTAATAGAAGAAATCAAACAAATCTATTCGTCACATAAATTTTATTACATTTTATTGTTAAAATAACGTTCTTGTAAGGTTAACGATTAGCTAGCAAAATAGGTTAGACCCGCGCCCCATCGCCATCTATGCAGCCAGTGCGGTTAGAACACGGTATCGCTGGGTGGAAGGCTTTCCAGACTGAAGTCAACGTCGAAGGAGGAGACTTCCTGCAAATGGAATCAACATTAGGTGACTATACTCAAGGCGAGACAAATTGAAGGACATCGACGTTGGTTTGACCTGGAGAAGGATCGTCACTGTCAGCTCTAACTTCCTCAAAGACACGTTACGCATGGATGCATACATCTTCAGCATTCAACACAGCTATGTAGAAGGAAATGGTCAGGTGTTCAGTTTTGCAACGACTCCCCAAACAAGATGGCCATTAGACTAATAATGATGATGATAATGATGATCGTTTTAATTGTCCTATCAGCTATTAAAAATAATTTACGTTGCTTAATGTATAAAATTTATTATAGGTAAGCATGTAGAGCAAAAAGCAGAGTAGGTATAGCGTTCGGTACTATCCGCTGTTTAAAGCATGTACTGACGGTCATGGAACGTATCCACTGTAGATGAGGAGAGACTAAAAATGACATGTCACTTTAGGGACGACGGATCTCTTCTTATTTCTTTTCTTTGAATTGCTATGCATATTGGGAAAGGTAGTGGAGTAGTTTCTAGTTGCCTTTCTGCATGGTTTGGAATTCAGATTTTCTTTTCTCTAGTTTCTAACAGAGGCTGGAGAGCTTAAGATATCCTACTATTTAACCCATAACCAAGTGGAGAAAAGACAGAGCCATGTTCTTTTTTCCCCCAAAACAATAGTGTGAAAGTGAATGAAGAAGACTAGTCCTGGACCTGAATTCGTCGCAGTAATTCAATTTTTCGCGTTGAAATCCGTTACATTATACAAGCATCAGCTCGGAGAGACAACTAAACGTTGATTCGAAACCTAAATATACTTTTGTCTGAATTTCTGTGATGAGGAGTTCTCCTTATTTAGATTATTTATATTCGGTCTATTGTCCTCATCTTTATTGCTATCCCAACGTTTCAGCCGGAGAGCACAACGGCCTCTAGCGGTCCACCAGTAGGCCTCTAGCGGTCCGCCAGTGGTGACATTGCCGATACGAACACGCCAGCGGCCCGACAGCAGACCACTAGTGGTAAACGCTAGTGGCATGCCACCCAGTAGCCGTTTGCGTGCAGGGAAGTAGTAATACTAATAGTACAGTAATGTTGAATAAAACCGCTATTCTGTGATAATTTTTGTTGTTGCCAATTCGTTACAGTCTAATTTTTTTTTTTTAAATATTGATAATTTTGATAAACTTTTATTAAAAATGCACGTACCTTTAATCAATAGCTTAAACTTTATGGCGTCCACCAAAATCACTACAAGATCTTGTGACTACAAGATCAACACCTGGTGATTTTTTAAATGCCTCTGGTGGTGTCTAGATGCTGTTTTCTGTGCTTTATTTTTTGGTACGGTGAGAAAACCCTGGAATTTCTACGCCAGGCGCAGGTCAGGGAAGGATTTTATGACAGATCGTCTATTGCCCATGCGACATGTCTCTCCACCCCCTCTACGTCACTGATGTTTTCCAAGGGAAAGACGAAGTTCGATGCTGGTTGGCAGCGGCCTCGCCGTCCGTATCTATTATTTTTAATGGATACACATATTTGGGTAGAGAATCTATTTTATTTATTTTTATTTATTTATTAAACAGTATATTTATTGATTTACAACTACCGGCCTGAA